AGTGTTTTCTTTTTCCAGTGTTGTCACAATTCATTTTACTTTATAGTTGAAAAGTAAATGAAAGAAATAGCTGAAGGCATATTTGTGAATAATTACACTTGCACCATATTTCTTAAGAGTTTGCTGGGTAGATTTGTTGTAAGATTTGATTGTTTTCCTTGTTACAGGCAGCTTCATTATCCATCCAGTGTTTGCAATGGATTATGAGGCAGTGTAGCAGATTGCAGAGACAGCATTCTAATGTTTCATCTGGAAATGGAATAAATAGATCTTTTTCAATTGCAACAATGTGAAATGAGCTTTCAGGATGTTAGATTCGGAAAACAGCTCATTAGATGCTGTTTCAGGCTCTCCTGCTGGGATGACTATTGCATATACTGAAGTAAAACCTGCACCCTGCAAATTGTCTTAGTCTGTAGCTCCAGAGTGGTGCTGGAGTGTGGAGTACTCCTTTATGATGGTGGGACTTACCAAGCAGTTGATGTTCCACTTCAAGGAGTTTGTTCCACCACAACTCAGATTTGCCTGAATTCAAACGTACCAAGAGTCAGTCCACATTAAACACATTATTTTGAAAAACTCATCAGATACTAGAATTTTGTTATGGCCGTGACTGTTGGTGTGAGATTGTTCTGTTCACCTCCCCTGTTGGCAGTGATCAGAACCCAGCAGGAACACATACTGGCTGCCCCTGCTTGTCATGGCATGTTCAGAAGAAGAGTGGGAGTCACTATCTAGGAGAGGGCATTTGGACTGAGTATGAAGAAATCTTTCAGGGAAAGCCTTGAAATAGCAGAGTGTAGTGAGAAAGGTTAGGGGGTTGGGTTTTTTTATGGTGCTAATGAAACCAAATCCCCACAGAAAGCCAAAAGTGGAGGCCAGTGCTTACCTTATGCTTTTTGGTTTCTCAGTCCTCAAAATCACAAGTAGTTTGTGAATCAAAGTCTACTGACAACAGTCATGTTTCTCCTAGTTTCCTCATGTGGGCCTGCGGTAGTCCAGGGATCCTCAGATATCCATGTGAAAGAAATCTGTGTGTAGTCTAGAAAGTGTAGATATCAACAAAAGTGTTCATGTGTGGCTGAGGATGGGGAGATAATCCAGATCTACCTTTATTGCTACACCTTAGAAAAAGGTGGCTTGTTATCAGACAGAACCATTGGCCCCTACCAGCAGGCAAAAAAAAAAAAAGCAATTCCAAGAGTAAAGCCTGTGCAAGTGCTTATCTGTGTTCTGGCCTGCTGAGAGTGGAAATTTCCTGGGTTTTTAGATCGCTTCCAAGCTAGTGATCCCTTGTGAAAGGAAACCTAGGAATAGGCAACAATGAATGAAAGAGGGACATAAATGTGGACTTGCTTTCAATTCTCTGCATAAGTTACATAATTTGAGCATTCAAATTCAATAGCCTGCATGTTTGAGATATATGAATAACTACTGACAGGTAAAAGCTAGTGTGGTGCATATAGAGTAGAAAGATTCCAAAAAGGCTTTCAGTTACTCATATTGGTGCAGTGAGGTCATCTCTAGCTTGTGCAGGTCCCAAGCACAGGCTGGGTTTTCACTGTACTTAAGTGGGTCAGTTCTTAATTCATAGAATCGTAGAATCATCAAATGGTGTGGATTGGAAAGGACCTTAAAGATCATCTAGTTCCAGCCCCCCTGCCATGGGGGCTTGGAACTTAGGCTCTTAACTAACTAGTAAAACAAAACCAATCTATTTAGTAGGGTTTGATCTATTTTAGATCATTAGGCTACTTTTAGTAAAGCAACTCAAGATAAAAATGAAAATCTTTTTCCCTTAGCATAGGCAAAGCCAAAGAAGGCACACCACTTAATTCTCTCTCCAGATTGACAACCATCTGTTAAAGGATCTGTGTTGTGACAGTCATTAATAGAAAATGTTTTGGGGAGAACTCCAAGAAGATCTACTCCCAAAATATAGGAAATACCCCATCCAGCTCTTTTCAGTTTAACACAGGACTTAAAACTCTTTAAGCAAATATGTCTGTGCATTTCTATATATATTCATATAGCTTCTCTCTGTATTCAAATGTGGATATACCATACATGTGTATAGAAAGATGAGCATAGGGAGAAAAAAAATACAGGTATGTCATATACCTTATATATAGATGATACTCATGGTTTCTTATAATGTATGTTATGCATCTATATGTAATCATTATATATATCTATACCATCTGTACGCTAACAATGAATTTCTTCATTACCCGTATAAATGTCTTTACCCTTTTGAACACTTCTGATTTCCTAATCTACAAGTCTAAATTATGGCTAAAAACTTCTCCTCCTACCCTTTCTTCTTAGTAATGGGAAAAAGAGAAATACAGAAAGAGTTAGTAAGCAATTTTGATTTTGATTTCAACAAGAATGGGTCAAAATATAAAGGAAGTCAGATAGATCTTGAGATATGGTAAATTACTGTAGATCTTATGGTAAACTGATGTAGTAGAGTTGATTTTAAGGCAGTGATGATGATTCACATCAAGCAAAGATTAACTGGCCTGGAAGTTTTAGAGAAAAATTGTACTAAATTCTGTGTTTTAAAATCTATAAAATCCTAAAGTTAAGATTGCTGAGTCACTACTGCAAGTGAACATACTGCCAAGACTTGGCTGTAATAGGAAATGAGTTTTACAAGCCAGATTTCATCAAAAGGTATGAAACCAATTGTGTCGACTCATCCATCCATCTAGCTTTCCCTGCTGACATTTCCAAGGGACAGTAATTTATATACTGAAAAGCTAAAATTGATGCATAAATTCGACTCCATAAGTGATACTCTTCTCTTTAGGGTAAGCTAATTGGACCCTATTAATAGAGGAAAGTTTGTGACATATGGACAAGTTAAACAGTTTTCATTTTCTAATTACTAATATCACAAAGTGGCTACTTTAGAGCTAGCTGACTAGACTATTTTTTTCACTCAAAAATTTCAAATGAAAAGTCTATATTTACATGTTCTGATTGAAAATTCTTAGTTTTTACAGTATTGTTTAAAGTCCTTTTTTTCATTTGTTTCCATCTAAAATGTTTTGATTTCTTGTCTTAGTTCCCTTTAACCCATAAATACCAAATCAACACCCCCCCAATACCAATAAAAAGTACTAAGTCGTTGTGAAAATGATAATTCCTTTTGAAGTTTGATTAATAAAATAATCTCAGTTTCTCTGCTGTGTACACAACAATGTGGAGGAGGTGGTAGCTGGCAATAGGAAAATTTTCACAAAGCACTATCTTATTAGTTTAGGAAACTGCTACAGACATTTCTCTTTCTTTAACAAGCTACTTTAAGTTTCTGTATATAACATGGCTTTAATGGGAGAGTTCAGTTTTCTCCTTAGCTGTGTCAAAAGCTTGTGAGCATAAGGAAGTCACTTTCAACCTTCACCTCCCTTTTCCTATGAAAAATAATGCAATAATTGTATTTCTTTGCTTAAGGTGGCTGTGTTTCTTGAATAGTAACACAAACCATGCTGATTCTTAGATCAGATAATAGTATGATTAATTTTGCCTCTTAAAATCTTCGTTTTGATAGCCTAAATTTTCATTATACTGAATAATCCAAATTTTGGAAAGCTCTCAAGCTGCTCTTTCTCTCCAAACTTTCTCTTTCTTCTTACATTTTCGTCTTTCTTCTGAAATGTAAAACAAAATATTAAGTGAACATTTCTTTTATGTTAACATAGCTGCATTGATTTGGTTATTGTAGTTAAAATAAAATAGTATGGAATATGCCAATCTTTCCCTTTAAGTATTTGCCTAGAATAGAGTGGAACCTGGTCATGGACACAAAAATGGAGTTCTGAATAAGTGCAAGAAGTAAAAGCAAGAAATACATGCTAAAATCATGAAATGGTATCCCTGTTCTATACTGGGAAGAAAAGAGACAGTAGGGAATAAGTTTCTTTTCATTTTAGTAGTACATTGGAAGTGTTTCCCTTGATTTGCATTAACGGTACTTCGAGTTGAGCATCCTGGAGGTATTAATCTCATGAATAAAAAGCAAAGTGGTTCAAAATGGGTGAATTCCCACAGGTGTGGTAAGTAGAGCTGTCTGCAGAATACTGGCATGGCATTCACTGCAGGACTGGGATTCAGCAATTATATAAGTGAGTTTAACAAAGAAGTTTCTAGACAAGAGAAACTCAGTGGTATGACAAGGTTAGTGGAGTGAATGTGCGTTCTCCCTTTTTTAGTCCAGGCAGATCAGGGTTATCTTTGCAAAGAGGGCAGGATTTTTCCCAGTGCTGCACTGTTAACATGTGGGTGGATGGAGCAAAATTCAGCAAAGTCAGCTGGGTTGTCCATGTGGCGGACGAATGCAGTTGAACCAAAAGCTGAGGACTGGGAATAAAGGAAGGCAAAGAGCCAAGGATTGAGGCTGAAAGGCAACAACAGAGCCCAAAGACAAGTGAGGGAAGCGGCACAGTGGCAGAGAGTTTGAAGATAAATGATTCAAAGGGGAAGAGTGGTACATGTTGAAAGGGTTGAGGCAGGAAACAAGTGAAAAGGATAGAAATTTGCCTTTGGAAGTATATGTCTTCCTCTAATGCAGGGGATGTGATAGGAACAGGGTCTCAATCCTGACTTTAAAATATTTTAAGGTTCCTTTGTTTTAGTGTAAACATGGGGATAAGGAGGGTCCCTCTGCCCCTCACTGTTGGCTCTCCACGCAGGAGGGGACTTACTCTGGCATCAGGGTGATGCCCAGTGACTGCTGAGCATCACTTGGATGTCACTCCTTGGTGCCTAGCTACCAACAGGCTTTCACAGACTCTGCCGTTGGGAAGGAGTGAGGGATTTATCAGCTGTGTTTGCTGAAACTAGTCCCATATTTTTTTCTGAATATGCTTCCCATTGTCATGGCTGTGTCTGGGAATGAGAGAAGGGCAGGGTTTTTCATTTGTGCTGTCCGGTGATTATCACTGTTTGAAAAAACTGTTGATGTTTTGTTTTGTTTTGTTTTCTTTGAGCAGATGGGCAGAAGAAAGTTCAAGAGGAATTTGACATAGACATGGACGCGCCAGAGACAGAGCGGGCGGCTGTGGCGATACAGTCCCAGTTCAGAAAATTCCAGAAGAAAAAAGCGGGGTCCCAGTCTTAGTAGCTACCTCACGGCTTAAAACAAAGTAATCCTGAAATGATTTATCAAGAAAATCAGAAATAACACAGAGATGCATGTACAGAATTTATCAATATTTAAAACCCCATTGGCAGAAAACAAACCATGAGCTTGTGTGTGACTTCATTCCAGATGTTTCACGCCCATTATCCTCTGTAACTCACCAGTTTACTTGATGTTGTAATAAAATGTTAGGGTGAAGTAATTAAAGTGTCTGCCTTCATCTGTCTTTTCATATTAATCCAGCAACCACAGCATTACAAATGAACCTAGCCCAGATGCCTGTTTTTCTCCTGACGTAAAGCTTGGAGACATAAGAGCACCGTATGTTACAAGGTTTTTGCTGGGGGATGAGAGCACGCATCTCAGCCCCGCTTACCTCATTTGGAGAATTCCAGCTGCCAGCCAAATGTGACAATAAAATTACTTTATTGTAATGAGCTGAGAGTAAAAAGTTGCAGAGAGAAGCTGGCATGAGGGGAAGAGGTGTAGAAAGCAGCGAGCAGTTTATTTTTGTCTTGCAATTATGACAATAAAGTGGTTTAAGTGGGGAAATTGTCCCTGTCCTTCCTCTTGTGCACGGTAACATTCAGAATTACCCAGCTTGGACCACATTGACTATTACGGAAAAAAATAATGAATCAGACACAAAATACAAAAAACAACCCAGAAACCTTTGGAAGTTTTGGGTTTGGTGGTTTTTTTTGTTGTTGTTTGTAAATATAGAAACTAACCCTCTAAAATCTCTTTTTGATGCAGCTTTTCACTCTCTATATAATCAGTAACTATTTCTATGCCATCTCTCTTTCTTTTCGTATTATTTTCAGTATTTGATGAGTAAATCATAACAGACTCTTGTCTCCATTTGCACTGTTCTGCATTGCACTTTATATGAGCCCCTTACTTTATCACTGTACTAGCCCAGCTTTTGATTAACAAAACCCAGCCACAGCAGCGTCTCTCTTAAATTGGGAAGTGCTTGTATTTTTTTCCCTGTTGTAAAACAGTAACAGACCAGTTTCAGGCAGGATCTAAGCAAGGATCTTGCCTGGTTTCTGACCTGATCAGGAAATGGCTGCCTATCATAGCACAGGAGGAAAGTTGAGAAAAGGTTTAAACACATTCCTTGTACTAAGAAAAATGAGCTATTTAGGTTGAGCAAGCGGGAAATGGACTACACAGAGATTTGTAAAAAAGTCTCATCCTTTTCTTGGCTTCATCAGCAGATTTAGGGGCTCCAGTAGGCATCGTTGTCTCTAGGGAAATCAGGGACAGAAGCGTTTTCTGAAGGACTGGTGTTTGCAGTGGTTCTCCAAAAAGGCAGCATGAGCCTCCCCTCCAGGGAAAGGAAGGATCTCACATGGATGGCAATCATTTTCCATGAGGGCCCGCCATAGCAGCAATACTGAAGGGGTGCAGAGTGGTGCTTAAAGGTGGGCTGCAAGACTGCAAAGGGAAGGCCCTCAGCCTTATGCAGGTTAAGACACTTAACGGTGCTGGGCAACAATTTAGTGAGGAGCCCAAACCATATGGTGGGTGATAGGAATTCTGAGACCACGCTGATTAGGTGGAGCCCTCTGAGATGTTGAGCAGAGGAAGCCTTATGGGTCCTGGGGTCAAGGTAGAAAGCCTGTGCAGAGATGGTATGTGAAGTGCTTAATAAGCACAGCAAGACTGGGTGGGAATGGACATGGTTTTTTAGATCTTAGTTTGGGGATAAACATCTGAATGCTGCCCAGGCTCCACCTTAGGCACCTCTGTCTGTGTCAGGTCCGGCCCTATGCATGATATATCACCTGCCAAGTCAAGAGTGCTCCAAGCTGCAGCTCAGTGCTTTCTCTCTAGGAGCATATTTGAGCAGCACTGTTTCTCTGCATTTAGGAATTTTACAAACAAACCTCAAATAACGCTGCTGCTGTGCTCAGAGTGTGGTTTGTGGAGGCCACGGATTCCCCACTTGTCTTTCACAGAGACTGCTCACCATATAATAATCACCTTAGCATAATAATTTAAAAATTGTAATGGGTTTGGATTGTGTTGGTGCCATTTTGTTTAGATGAACTTATATCTGTAATAAAAGACTGCATTTGCATTCTGCATTATGTCATTTGAAATAGCATGAGCTCTGTAATGGCTACTTAATTGAATAAAAACTATGGGTAAGCACTAGGCTTTTATATTTGATCTGACATTCCTTGGACTTAAATTTCCTACACAACAGGAATAATCATATGGTTGGGACATGGAGAAAACGATTACATTATTGAAGCACAGCAACAAGGGCTGTTAGTAAATGAATTACGGCTCTTTTAGCAGCAGGGCTATACTTTAATGTGAAGTTCAGAGTGGATCTTACAAATATAGTCTTAATATACATTGAAACATAATGAGGAGATAGTGAACTGGCATGGAATTTGGATTAATTGTGGCTGCCCCATCAGACAATTTCCTTTTTATGAGAATGTGTTTGCATCACAGATTCAGTTCCTGTTCCCAAGAGAGGAGAGCTTTCTCACTCCGAGTCTCGCTTGTCATTGATCCTTTGTTCACATCCAAAGTGGCAGTTTTTAATTTCCTTTCTTACCATTAACTCATACTTTTCAAAGACCCATCTGGATATTGCTGAGGTGAGGAAATGAGCTTGATTCAACCAGGAACTTTGCAAAGATGGGTAAAAGAGGACACTTAAACATTCCAGATATTGTATGTACCTTTTAAATTCCAGGCGCTCACTGAGCTCTCTAGTTAACTGGCACTACCTAGCTGGGGGTAACCAAATCATGGAAATAAAAATTGAAATTAGGTGGATATCTCCGCCGATAAACCAAAAGTTCCTTTAGGTAGCACAGAAGATTATTCAGAACAGTAGATTTTGCAGGAAACAGGGTTATCACTCCCACCACATACACCCACACCCTCCCTAGACACATCCATATTGCTTCTGCTCCAAATTACTGTCAGATTGTCCCAAAAGAGAATAACCTACAGTTGAACAACCAGAACAATTTCCTGAGCCTTAGAAATCCTTTGTTCACATTGTTGCCTGGACCGTAAAATAACCTTTAGAAGTAAACAGCAAAGGAGACTATTAGAAGTAAAGAAATGCCATCAGAAAGCACAAGAATGCCCAAATGAGGAAAACAGCAAAGGATGTGAATGCTATCAAGCGAAACACAGAAAGGCAAGCCAAAATCGACCTGTGGCTTGCTGAAGATACAGAGTTATAAATGAAACTTTTTTTCAAACACTGCTCTGACTGGTGGCCTACTGGACAATTGTGGGGATATGGGGAAGCAGAGGTCTTGCAGAAAGTATGCAAGATGCTCAGAGCAGAGGCTCCCACAATAAGGGTACAGGGTTCTTTTCTGCAATACATCAACCTGAGGAATTCATTGTCAAATTGAAATGCCAGTAGAAGAGGGTTTGGAGTATCCTGGCAAAATTAGTAACAACAGAGTAACAGTACTGGATGAGGTTCACCTACATCTTGTAGAGGAGCTCTGATACACAGCAGCTGCCTTGTTCAACCCATTGCTCATGCTGGCCTCAATTCCTGGGGAGTAGGTGGTGATGAATTAATAACAGACTGTAGAAAGGGCTCTAGAATGATTTGGACATTTACAAAAACTGGCTTCATTAGGTAGCTCGAGAGAAACTATGATATGACATAATACAACCGTAAGAAGTCAAAGCCAACCTGGCAGCAGCTGTGATTCACAAATCTGCTGGCAGTTGCTGATGGAGTAAACAGTTGGGTAGTGGTAACCCAGGTGCACCTGGATTTTTAAGAAGTTTTCACAGGACTCTCATGAACACCTCTTGGAGAAGTTAAGTGGTTTGGGAACAAGTGGTCAGGTCCTCTTGCAGAAAAACAACAGGTTAAGGGGCAGGAGCCAGAAGGGTGGGATGGCATGTCCGGTTCTCACAGGAACAGGGTGTCGCCAGTGGGACTCCGACAGCATCTAGGTTGTGCAATTTCTTAAAAAATCACCTGAAAAGGGGAATGATGAAAAGTGAGGTGACAAATTGTTATATCAGTGCATTCTACATGAAAAATCCTGTTCTTTGCTCCTTAGTTTTACAGAAGGCTCTTTGAGACCTGCAAAGAGAGGAAGAACATGTCAGGTCCGTGAGGGCACCAACAGCCCTAAGCGCCCCTGCCCACCTCTGGGGCTCCCTCACCCTAACCATGACCAGGACCCCCTGTAAGCCCCCTGGGGTTCCACCACCCTACCCAGGCCCCAGGAACCCACATCAGCTCCTCAGCTCCCCAGGGCCATCAGCCCCTGCCCCCGTGACACCAAAGTAGGGCCAGTCTCCAGGTCTCCACATTCCTGCTCTGCCACAGTCGCATCAAGCTGGGCCTATCCTCAGGCCCATGTCCTGGCCTTGGCCCATCCCAAGAGAGGTGTCCAATGCCCAGGACTGGGGGTGCCCTGGTGCTCAGTGGCTGCCCTGCTCCTGGATGCAGCTCCCATGGTCCTGGCCCCAGGGATCTGCCAGCCCCACTGTGCTCTGCCAGGCCCCAGGAACCCACATCAGCTCCTCAGCTCCCCAGGGCCATCAGCCCCTGCCCCCGTGACACCAAAGTAGGGCCAGTCTCCAGGTCTCCACATTCCTGCTCTGCCACAGTCGCATCAAGCTGGGCCTATCCTCAGGCCCATGTCCTGGCCTTGGCCCATCCCAAGAGAGGTGTCCAATGCCCAGGACTGGGGGTGCCCTGGTGCTCAGTGGCTGCCCTGCTCCTGGATGCAGCTCCCATGGTCCTGGCCCCAGGGATCTGCCAGCCCCACTGTGCCCTGCAGTCTCCCTGTCCACAGAGGGCTCTGTCTGTCTCCATATCCCAGTGTCACTCCCAGGGAGGCTAGAGGGGTGCAGATAGCTTTTGGCCATAAGTGTGAAGGTCAGAGGCTTCATGGAAACAAGAGACATTTCCCTCCCCTGGCTTATTTGCCCTCAGTCACCCGAGCTGCACTGCCAGGAAACTGGGAGGATCCCCCAGGCAGGTCCAGAGTGGGTGCAGCAGGGTCCCTGCCAGGTTCCTTGTGGCAGACCAAGCCCACCAGACTGCTCACTGAAACAGGCGGCTCCACTATCTGCTCTTGACCTGGTGCAACCCCTCAGCCTGCCGCCTCTTTGGAATTGCTCCCAAGTACCTCGACCCAGCACGGCAGGCCAAATATGTCAGTGAAAGCACCTGCTGGAGTATGCAATGAGGGCAGACGAGTGGAAGGGAACCCTCTGAGGAATTGAGGAGCACAGCTGGGAAATGAGAAAAGGGCAAGAGCTGCCAAAACTTTCAGCTCAGGTGATTTCAGCTCAGGTAATTGACTACTCATGTCCAGCCTGTTTCAGGGCTCACACCTCAAAGGAGCTCTGACATGAAGCCAGCCACTGCTAGAAGGTATTTAGGCAGCCTGGTGAATCCCTACCTGCCACCCGGCACATCCCAAATACCAGTCCAAAGCCCACTGGAACCTGATGAGCCCAGCAGCAGAATGGGAACATTCTGATGTGAGACAGCAAGCATTGGCAATGGCCATGGTCTCTGCTCCCCCACCTCAGAAGACCAGCTGGAGTGTGTCACCGTTTAACCTTCATGAAAGCCAAAGCTTGAGGAGGGTGTGGAGGAGGGAGGACATGATACTCACTCAGGTGGTATAACAGCCCACGCTTGGGACATGGTTGGGATGCACATTTAGTCCTCAGTGGTGGGGCTCTCGTGTAGGCGTAACCAGAGGTCTCTGTATCTGAGAGGCATCTTAGGTGTCCTCTGCTACCCTCAGTCATTACCTGCCAGCTCCCATTTTAGACCTGGCAGCTGACCGTGGAAACTTCCAAAATAAAGTCCCAATGGTTCAGCTGAATCACTGCTGAAGGCCGTTTGGGCTAGGTTGCTCAATGTTTCCTTAAGACCCACAAGCTAGCAAATGCCTAGCATCAAAGGAAGCATCCTAAGGTGCCTCCTGACAGTCAGCACTTTACTGTGAGGCTGCAGGAGATGCTCAGAATCTGGTGTCTGCCATAATTGTATGGCAATGCAGAAATGCTTTTATATCCGTTGCTGACCATTTACCACTCACCTTATTTTTGACCTGATCTGAAATCTTTTTGAACGTGGTTATCACAAGCCCCAGGTCACTGGTCAGGCCTGTGCTGGCCCATTATTTACTTGCAGTAATATGGGATATGACCAACATCAGATTTGAATTGTGGTTTAACCTAAATGATATATTGTTTTTTCAATACCAGTTCTATACACACGTTCAAAGCCTGATGGGAAAAAAAGGAAAGTGTATTATCGATATCAGTAAATTAGTATTTAGAGATATCTATTCTGTAAATACTTAAATGCAGACGTCCTTCCCAATCTGAAATCAGCAGAATAGACTTGTGTTGGTTTATATGATAAAGACAATCTTCACAGTGAACAGATCTAGGGACTTTCCCAAAAAAGAGAAGCCATGCCACTTCTAGTTCATTAAAGTCTAGTCACGAATGGGTTATTTAGCTCAACTCTTAAACTGTGGCAGTGCTTTTTTTTTGCTTTTTTTTTTAATCCCTAAACTCTGGCTGACAGATGGTCTCTTGCCTTTAGTATCTCTAGTGATGGTGAGGCTAAAACCTTCCTTGGCAGCTTGTTCCATGGCTGAACTTTTCTTAAAGCTATAAAGGTTGGTTTGTACTTAACCTAGATCCTCCCTCCTTCCATTTAGATTAATTTGTTCCAGACCAGATATACCCAGTTTCCCTAACCTTACCACGTAGGTCTCCTTTTCCAACACTTTTCATTATTTTTTGTTATTCTCCTTTGAACTCTGCCAATTTATTTGTGTGCCTGAAATGAAATGCAGCCATCCAAATGAAACTTAACCAGTGCCAAGCACAGCAGCATAATTATCTTGACTATTTTACAAGTGACGATTCCCTTACCACAAATTTGAATGGCTTTTGGCATTTTTTGTGACAGCATTATTTTGTTGGCTTAGAGTCAGAACATAATTTCCCGTGAATATGGAGCCTCTCTGCTGTCTCTCTAGCCAGGGTTTTCCTCTTCTTTTCTACAAGAGACTATATTGGCTGTAAAACACCTTTCTTAATTTTATAGTCCCACTGCACCTCTGCAATACCAAGATAATACAGAAATCCAGGTAAATGTCTTTATCTTCAGTTCTTT